GGCCTTATGCCTTCTTGGGAAATGCAACTGTCCACATGGATGGAGACCAGAGGCACAGCGATAAAGACGGACCCTGTTCCAGGAATGGTTAGGAATCTGACTGTCTCAGAAAGGCAGTGTCAGCTTTGCAGCTGCTGGACCATCCAGACCTTGGTGTCCCTGCTGTGCCCATGGTGTGAGTATGGCAGAAAGTCCAACTGTGCATGTGCGCGAACACTGCCAACACACTTCCTGTGGGAGCTCTTTACAAAGTAAAAGTGAACACAGCATTTTAACCTATTGAGGGGAGCGCTTCAGAAGTAACCTTGTAGATGACTACTTTTTGTATTTCTTTTCTTGTTTATCCATTTGGAAAAAAAAGTTACCCCTGGAGTATTAAGAACTCATCACATAATTGCACCCTCCACTTTTTTTTTTCCCCTAGAATTTCTGGTTCATTATAATCAGTGTGAGAACTGTTTTAAATACACTTCAATTCAAACCAGACTGACAATAGATCCTGAATATCATGGAGACAATCTTTTATCTGCAGATTAAAAACCACTTCATTTTCAGCAAAATGGTTTCGTGTGAAAAATGCCAAAAACAAAGGACTTACTTTTGTTACTTTCTCCATTATCTTATTTTTTCCATTTGGTATATATAAATGGGGAAAAGTTTACAGATTTTCCATAGGTGAATCTTGTTAACAATAAACACATGACCATAAAGCCTGACAATACTGACCATATTTTTATAATAGAGTCCCCTTGATTGTCTCATTCAGGGTAAAAGTGCAAGTTTATGCCATGAACATTGGACACACAACTCATTTGAGGTAACGTGATAGATGTAGGTGCAGTGACTGATGGGAACGTTGCTCTAATGCACATTGCTCATTGAAGTTTTGCACAGTTTATTAAACTATGCACTGCTTCTGAGGGACAATCACATTCACATGTTATTGCAATAAACTATTCTGGATTTTTGTCTACGTTTTCAGTGTTAAGTTTGTTCAACTTAAATTCAAAGAACTGAACAATAATCAGTATAATACTGTTAAGATAGTCAACTTGAAAAGAAAATACTACACTTTGTAAAGCATTTCCTGTGTGGGATTTTCCCTACTTGTTATGCTCATGAAACTTATCTGCATAACTTTTACTACATAAAAAGTACCACCCTATAGAATACTACAGGATGCCACAACTATATTCTATCATGTTGTGATTCAATGCTATTGTAAGTAAGGTAGAAAATTAGTTATAAATTTGTAAATCATAGAAAATACAAGAAGGGAATTTTTGTTGAAATAAATAGGCCAAAAGAGTCCTCACATCAGTTCTGCTTTTCTTAGAGGAGGGGCTGTCATCTGATGGATAATCTCGCTTAACAATGATAAATGTATGACAGCTATCATTAAAGTAGATATTAACAAGGCAAGGAAAAACTAGTTGCTTAGGAGCAATGAGAAATATATATGTAATATCACTAAAATGCTCCTTTTGGAAAGGGCTTGGTATACATGTGAGGATTTTGATGACTGATGTACACTTCGTGTATGTTAATGTACACTTTGATTATTTATGTAGACTTTCTTCCATTCAGATGTGAAGACACCCTTCTGGTCATTTTATTAATGTATACATTAGGCATAGATTAAATGACACCTTTCATAAGATTCTACAGAATTTGAAGCAAAGTGTCCTTTTATAGCCCTATAATGAATATAATATAGAACCTGTCCTCGTCGTGGAGATTGTACATTTTAAAAGATTTAAGAAATGAATCCTAAATAGTTCATCAGTTTAAACTATGGTTCCTGGACATTAGGATTTTATCATGTTTTAGAAATATGCATAATAACATTTGAGGGCATTGCCACATTTTGAGAAAACAAATAAGTATATTTCTTGCCAGAGGACAAAAGAGGAATATTGGCAGATATATGATTCATTTGAAAAGTTTTTGCATAATTTTAGCCTGTTTCATTTGAAAATAAAACAAACCCAAGTCTGACACTAGCTGTTCTATACAAAATGCTGTGTTAGTCGCACAGCCCCCTGGCGTAGTGAGACTCCACACACCTTGTTGCTGGTTTATTTTATTCCTAGAGCCCATCTGCTGCTGTCCTTTACCCTTGTTTCCAAAGTAAAGAAATCTGCATCTTGAGTTCAGATCTGGTCACCCAGGAAAGAAAAAAATAAAAAAATATGATATTGGCACCATCTGACTGGAAGATGGTGAAGACTGAAGTGGGACAAATAAGATGCTTGCACTGGAGTTTGGCAGCATTTTACTCATGCTTGAAATTTGTGATTCTCTAAGCCATGGGACAGATCTCAAGCTAATGAAGATTTGTGGAAGAAAGACTTCTGCAGATCTGCACGTGGAACATGTAGAATCTTCTGTTCAGAGGCAATGCTTACAAAAGGACAAAAGGCATGAGAATGTCCCCAAGCAGAGAACCCCACTTAGGGCGATGCCGAGTGTGTCCGGATGTCTGGAGCTCCGACCTAAATGGTGCGCACTTAGAGCAATGCCGAGGATGTCCGGATGTCTGGCGCTCCGTCCTAAATGGTGCCCACTTAGGGCAATGCTGAGGGTGTCTGGATGTCTGGAGCTCCGTCCTAAATGGTGTCCACTTAGGGCGATGCCGAGGGTGTCCGGATGTCTGGAGCTCCGTCCTAAATGGTGCCCACTTAGGGCGATGCCGAGGGTGTCCGGATGTCTGGAGCTCCGTCCTAAATGGTGCCCACTTAGGGCGATGCCGAGGGTGTCCGGATGTCTGGAGCTCCGTCCTACATGGTGCCCACTTAGGGCGATGCCGAGGTGTCCGGATGTCTGGCGCTCTGGGAGCAGGGCTGGGGCCGGGCAGCGTCCCTGGTCTTTCCCCTGTGCCTCCTGTCTGTGACCTGACCTCAGACCCCACGAGGGACGGGTCAGCGGGTGGGTACCCAGATCCTAAGGATCACCTGCGAGGTGAGTGCGGGGGAGGTCTCAGGACAGGTCTCTGTGGGATGCGCTGAGCGGTCTCTGGGTGAGATCTCTCGGAGTGGGCGTGTGGGAGGTCCCCGTGCGGGGTCAGTGTGGGAGGTCCCCGCGGGGTCGGTGCGGGAGGTCTCCGCGGGGGTCAGTGCGGGTCTCTGTGGGGACTCTGGGTGGAGGACGCCCGTCGCTGGCCGTCCTGCCCAGGAAGGCAGGAGAAGGCTCAGGGCCCGGCTCCTTCTGTCAGGGACCCTCTGTGTCACTGCTCCCAACAGGCGTCTTGGGGGTCAGCGGCCCCCGTCCCCAGCACTCGCCTCGCGGTGCCTCTGAGGGGACCTGCAGCAGCCGGGCCCAGGGTCCCTGCTCTCTGCACCCTTCTCCTGAGCTCTGGAGGCCACTCTGTGGCCTGGGTCCCAGCCCTTCCCTCAGGCCCTGGCCGAGCCCCGACCGCTGGGCCCACCGTGGGGGATGCAGCCCAGAGGCAGGGCTGCTCGCGGGCGGAGCCCCAGCACAGGCGGGCCGTGTCCCCTGCCCCCACCCCGGGCCTGGCCCCACATGTGGGGTCCTGACAGGCCCGGAGGCGGGGCCAGTCCTGCTGCTCCTGGATCAGGGACCCGCCAGGAGCAGGTCTATCCTCCATGGAGTGACTGTGACGCAGAGCCCCAGACTGCACTCGGGAGTCGCTCCTGTCTCCCACTTTCCCGCGTGGACGGCCCGGGGAGAAAGCTGACGGCTCCCTCATTCCCCACAGGTGGCCTCCCGCCCGCTGCGTGACACATCCTGTCACGGCCTCTTCCCTCCCGGGCTCCGGGGCGACTGAGGCTGAGAGCAGGGCGGCCTTGCTGTGCCCCCTGCAGTCCCCGGGCCTGTGGAGTCCCGCCCGCCCGCTGGGAGCCTCCTTGGGCCACACGTGTAGGTAGAGGTCACAGACCATGAGTCTGTCCCGAGCTCCCCGCCCTGTGAAATCTGATTGTGTACACTGTGGAGAAGCGAAGCTTCCCTGCTTGGAGGCTCCGTTGCCTCTGGCAGCCTGGCCCTCTGTCAGGGGGTCCAGGGGTTCCCTCTGTCTGGGCTCTGGGGGCTGGAGTAGAGGGGGGACTCTGGGGTGGGGCCCCTGCCTTCTTTCCTCTGGGCCTGTAGATGGTGGGACGTCAGGGGCTCCTGGATCACTGCACCATCTCTGGGCACCTCTGCCACCTGCCTCCTTCCCCGCGCCCCACCCTAGGGGCACAGCGTCCATTCCTCAGACCATGAGGTGACTGCACACACAGCCATGCCCCTTGCCCGTTCACCCAGGACAGGTGGGTGCTCTGAGCAGGCTGTCCTCGCCTCTGGAGCAGGGGTGAACTGGCCCTCGGGAGCCTCCATGCCCCCCACTGCACACCCTCAGAGCTGGGAGTGTGTGGTCCTCATCCTTGCCTCTGCTCCAGAGCAGGAGAAAGACAGAGGGAGGGTGATACTCCTGGCTCATCTCAACTCAGCTCCTGCTGGGAGAGGAGGGGCTTCCAGGGCAGCATCATCTAGTGCCACCAGGACATGGGGACAAGATTTCTCCCTCCTCTGGGCTCGGGACACACTGCCCCTAAAATCCCCTCCTTATTCTGACTTGAGAATTTGTCTCTGACACTTTCTGAGCCAGAGGGGAATTTCAGCCTCTGAAAATCCCTCTCCTACAGCCGCACAAGTTCAAAGTAGAGACAGCAGAAGACAGAGCCAGATCCTGAAATGAGCGAGGTCTTTAGGTTTAGTTCGCTGTGGCAAGTCTTGAATGCCATTGCTTGTTTCTGTAACGCTGATATTATGGAAACTGAGATGTATTGAGGGAATTGGGGTGAGGGTGAGTATTCCACACTGAGATAAATCTCCTTCCATGGCTCTGGAAGTCAAAGCAGGCACCTGGAAAGAGTGGACCCTGACCCCTTCCCTCCCCCAAACAGTGCACAGACAAAAGTCACCACGTTTCATAAGAAAAAGCATCTATTTCAGGAAACAAGAAAATATGTGATAGGAAGCAGTCATTAGCACAAAGAGGATGTGCTAATAAGAGAAAAACATGTTTTTATCTGGATGGTATACATTTTTCTCTTGGGAAAGGCTTTTCCTACTAGGAAAGCTGTAACGAGCATGTTCTGATTGAGAAGAGGCATATTTCTGAAGAAGACAGTGCCTTGGACAGTGGAGGGGACGGCCTGGGACACTTGTCGTTCTTGATCCACGCTGGTAGGCTCTGCCCAGACGGGGGCCTGGCTCCCTGGATGGGAAAGGCCACGTGCTGTCCGTGGGCCTGGTCCACTTACTCTGCGTAGGACACCCGTGGCCCGTGGGCGTAGCTTGCTGCTGGTGGGCTGTTTGTCTGATCACTCTCCTTTGTCCTTGATAGGAGAGAAACCTGTGGTAGCAGTAAGGTGGAGCTCATGGGGCCTGGAGTTCTACTTTGTACCAGTTTAATTCTGAGGCGTGTGGTCCACAGTGAAGCGCCACCTTCTCCTCTAAGATCTGTCCAACAGCTGTCATGAGAGCCTGAGTCTCAACAGCCTTGCCGTCTGAATCAGACGACTTTTGACAGTTCTGTGGCTCTGGGCAGTGCTCGCGGCAGGCTTGCATTTTTGCGGGGCTCTTCCGGTCTTTTGCCTTTACTGGGGCAAACCCACTGCAGAAAGTGCTTAATCCTCTCTCTGAAGTGGTTTTCTGAAGAAAGCTGTCTCTTCTTCAGGCGGGATTGCTTTGTAGGGACCCTGCTGGTCCCTTTTTCTGGCCAGGGTGGCTCGTCCTGCGCCTGGTAGAACCTCCGTGCCACCACCCTTTCTATGCTGTCCTAGTCCGGGGCCTCCCATTAGCCTCTCGCCTCAGTGGGGATGAACTTCCTGCGCTGACTCTTCTGTTGGGGCCGCCCTCTCAGGGCCTCCTGCCGTCCCTGGCTGCTCTCCGCTCGACCTAACATCATAGAGTATCTGGGAATTGGATGATTCTCTACGGGACAGAGTCTCGAAACAGGACAGAGATGCCTGAGAAGCCAAGGTGTTCGCGGCAGTGAGTATATCCGAGTGACAGTCTTTGAGACGCCGCTCGGTGGCACAGTCTTGAAGGAGCACGCAGGCGGGCTGGCTCAAGGCCAGCCAGTCTGTGAACCCTTGGAGCTCAAGCTTACAAAACTGTTCATCAAAGTCTGCATCTTCTGGATTTGAGTCAGCAGACTTTGTGTTCAAGGAAGGATTTGTGTTGGACCTTAGGAACTGATTTCTTCATATCAATACTGATGATTTGGGACTTGGTTAGTAGACTTGGTTCAAAACTATCTTTCCTAGCAGGGTCTCCCTCCACAGCCTGTTGTTCTCTGTAAGACTGGGAACGCTCACTGAGGTCCATGACTGTCTCACCAGAGCAAGATCCTGGGGTGGTCCACCCCCCGGATCTCTCTTGTGGCACGTTCCTGGCCATTGCTGGACTTGGACTGGACTCCAGGCTGCCTCTGTCAGCCTTCATGACAGACTCACTGTGCCAAATTCTGCCCGCAAAGTTGTATGTGGTGTGCTGAGAAGGTGGCTTGACTTCCTGCCCAGTCAGAGGTGCCTTTGAGGGTTTCTGCATATTTCCAGGTGGGGGTCCTTCCAGAGCCTGCCAGGTTTCCTCAATCGCCCATGAAGGGGCAGTGAGGGGCCTCTCCAGGTGGGGCACCACCTCCGTTGTTGTGACTTTCTTTCCTGGATGGGGCTGAGGATGTTTTCCCGAGTCCTTGGTTAGCTGGGCTTTTGGGTGGTCCCCAGTGTCACTGGTGGCCTTCAAGGTGGATCTTGGAAGGCGTGTGCAGGAAGCATTTTTCAACTCTAAGGTAAATATAAACTTGAAGACCTTGAGGACCAGGGCCCATCTGTGCCTCACCCGAGTCTTTAATACAGAAGCTTCCAGCCCCTGCTGAATATAAGGACTGACAACAGGAGACTCATGGGAGATGTTCATAGAGGCTTCCCCATCCTGAGAACAACCTGTGTCTTCTGTTCCTGTAGGAGCGTTTAACTCTCCAGGAAGGTCTAGGAAGTGGTTGGCAGCAAGTCTGGAACAATGGACATTCACAGGGATTTGACCCTCACAGATCTGCTGTGCCTTCTTGCTTATAAGGGCTCCCAAGACTTTTTCTGGATGCTTCCTGCCTGGGCTCAGCTCTTTTTCTGATTGAGGTTTTGCTACTGGAACCTTCATTGGGTGGTTTGCTGATGTCACGTATAGAACTTTATGGGCTCCCCCCACGCTCTGCCCTACATCAGGGCACCGGTCTGTCCCTGGTAGGATTCGTGCTGGGCACTTGGACCTCATCTTCTGTGCATCATGGCTCCTTTTGCCTCGACCTGCAGAGGGACTTGAGGGCCCCTCCCTGCCCTGTGCCTGACAAGGCCTTGGGAATTGATCCTGAGGCTGCATCAGCCTTTGAGAAGCTTGGATTCTGCAGGGCAGGCTGCTTTCTTGTTCCATGAACCTTTTGGAAATGTGGTGCTCCAATTTTTCTGAAACCTCAGGGCTGATCAAATCCCCAGGAAAGATGGAGACAGAGCTGTGGGTCTGGGAAGACCTGCTTTCCTGGGGAAGGTTTGGAATAACCTGGCTAAACACTTGCTGAGATTTTTTAACCAAAGAGGGTAAAGTTCTCCCACTTTCTACTTGCTTTTTCAAAAAGTGATGTTCTAGGGTATGAATTGCTTTCGGATGAAAGATTGTGCCTTATTTGGGACTATAGGGCCAGATACATCATGATACCTAGTCTGTGGTTCAGAGGAAGATGGTTCGAATGGGAAAGAGTGTATAAGATGGGTAGTGGTCTCTAACTGAGCCCAAAGTCGTGCTTAACCTTGGGGCATGTAAAGGGTTGGAGTTGCATCTGGGCCTTCATGTGAGCCCAAAGTGGTGGTGATTGACGTTGGGGCTTTGTTTTGTCAAGGGTAGGGGTTGGACCCTGGTCTGTGTATGAGCCTGAGGTTGTGGTTGAGAGTGAGACATGGCTGGATCCAAGGGTTGGGGTTGGGCCTGGGCCTCCATGTGAGCATGAGAGGGTGGTGGTTGAAAGTGAGCTGTGGTTGGAGTCAAGGGTTGGGGTATTTGAAATTTTTCAGCCTTAGAGAGTTCATTGAATAAGACATGTCATAATTATAGAGCTGACCCAGGTACTGTGACAGCAGCTACGAGAGACTCACTGTGCAGAAAGGGGAGACCCCAGAAGAGCTGGCTGCATGTCTTCTGTAGACAGCCCCCCAAAGTATCAGGATGTGAGGGCTTCTCGGGACCAAGCAGCTGATCATGTTTGCCTTTTATGCTCCAGAAGTGTTGGTGACCCAAGGTGTCCTGCTTGTCACCCAGTAATTTGATCCTTTCCCCCAAAGAATTCGGGTGGTAGCCTGCCTCCTCCTTGTTTTCTTCCTCCTTCTAAGACTTCAGTTCTACTTTCTTGGTGATTAGTATCTCCAGCTTCTGGACATCCGGGTTGACAAATGAGAGGATACTGGCCTCTATCTGCCTGTTTTGGGGGTGTCCCCAAAATGAGGCCTCTGGTGGATGGCAGGGAAGGTGCTTTTGCTGAGACTAAAAGTTTGTCATGGTAGAGAGACTCCAAGATTTGGCAGCCCCATGCCACCAAGACAGGGCTGAAAGAGGACAGCTTGAGTGGACAAGCCCTGAGATGGCTGGTCTCCAAGGAGACTGTGGATACAAGCTGTGTGATGGTGCCCAGTGGGAGTGACATGCAGGCACCCTGATTGAGACTCAGCACAGAACCTAGTAGTGGGGAGTCGGAGGAGGTTCTTGGAGGTGGAGGACCGGTCCCCCCCATTACTGGGGCATGGTGGGGAAGTGGAAAGAGCCAGTGGCCAGGGTGAAAGGCTGTCCAGGAGAAAGAGAAAGGTTCCGATCGCTGAGAGGTACTCTCAGATGAAAGTGAGTGAACAGAATCTAAGGAAGACACTGAGTGTGGAGAGTGGGTGGAGTCCTGAGATAGAGGCCACTGGATCAGAGGAGGCGGGGGCATGGTGGGAGTGGCCTCTTCCCTACTTGGCTGGTGGACTCCAGCTGGCCCTGCTTTGCACACATCCCCAGGGGCATCTTGACTGGATACCTGATGAAAGCCACCCTTGTCCTGAGATAGAGGCCACTGGATCAGAGGAGGCGGGGGCATGGTGGGAGTGGCCTCTTCCCTACTTGGCTGGTGGGCTCCAGCTGGCCCTGCTTTGCACACATCCCCAGGGGCATCTTGACTGGATACCTGATGAAAGCCACCCTTGTCAGGGAGCCTCCTCAGAAATCTGCAGAATACATGAAGAACAAACTGTAGCCAAGAGCCCCGGGGCCAGGTGGGCTGGGCAGGCCAGGCAGGGGTCGGCACCTGCAGCCCATGGCCCTGCACAGTCCCCTTGCTGACTTCACAGTGCTCCTGCTGTCCCTCCCACCAAGGCTTTAGCCGTTCTCTGCCCCAGTGCTCCCCCTCCTAGCTCAGCTCTAGGCTGCTTGCAGTCCTGTGGTCATACCATAGGCTCTAGGAGAAAGAACCACGTAGGAGAGAAGGGAAAGAGATGCTTTACCTTTGCAGAAATGAAGTCAGGTCCCAGACCTCTTCCAGTGCTTCCAGACAATCTCTGCAAGCTGGAAATTGGCAGACTCATCATGAGGATGAAGGCAGGAGCCTAGGGGACTTATGGGGCATTGACTGTAGGTCCCTTGAAGGGNTGAGAGAGAGAAAAAATGAGGGCTTAAGACCCAAATCTCAGTCTCCTCTCTAGACAAGCATCAGGCACTAGTATCCATACATATGGATATGTATGACTTAATATGACTTAATAATATGACTTTCTACTTTTCACTGACAGCTCTGTGATTTTTCTTTCCTTTCACTCATTTTTAAAGTGGATAAAATACTTTCTGTTTTCCTTCTTTGAAGAACGAAAGATGATTTTCAATGTGAAATGCACGCTGTACTTCTGTCACTGTTCCTCTGCTCAAGAAACACACACATTCTCAGATTGTGGGTGAATCTGAGCTTCATCAGGTTGATCTCAGCTTCCTGATACCAGCCCGCCCCCCAGCCCCTGCCCTGAGGCTCTTGGGGCTTCAGGGCTGCCAGATCATCAGCCCTGAGACACTGTTCACAGCTGCTGAACTAGGGCTCAGAGTCCTGTCCTCGGCCTGAGACTGAACTCAGTATCCAGTCCTCAACCCCTGGTCACTGTGTTTGGGACATGCCCTGGATCCCCTACCACACCTGGACACCTGATCTCAGATCTTTGGGTAGAAATCCTAGTGTTCACTCTATCTCTTGCCCAGCCTGGTTTGTTCCTAGAGGCATGATGTTCTGTTCTTCCTTGAAAATAGATGTCCTGGTCTTTCCCACATCAAGAATCTCTGGTTGATTCAGAAAAGTAGAAATCATAATAAAAAAGATTTTATATGCTTGTCAGTGTGGACCAAGAGTTCCTTACCTTCCTGATGTTTCCGTGTTTCCTAGGGGAAGGAAAGGATGGGTTTTTCTCCAGGTAGGGAAGGATCAGGAAAAAGAGCCCCAGTCCACACAGAAAGGCGAGGATGGTATCGATCACACAGAAAGGGGAGCTGGAGTTCAGCCAAGTATCAGAAGTGCTTTCCAGAGAAAAGGGCAGATTCTCCATCATCTGAATCACCACTGCCCTCAGGCAACTGAGCCAGGGTGTGCACCTGGGGACTAAAGTACTAGGCTTGCATCATAGACCTGTGGTCCCATCACAAAGGGCCCTTGGGGGTAAGAGGGATTAGCAGAGGAGGTGGCGGCTGGACTATAGCCCCTCCCTAACCATCCAGCCCCACAGCTTCATTCATCTCCCTTCTCTGAGCCTTCCCGTCCTACCTTCTCATTCTGGTAGACAGAAATATTGGTCAAGTTTCAATTCATCCCATCTGGAACTCAGACAATACTGTTTTTTTCTTTTTTTTTTTTTCAAATCTCTATTTGAGCCCCATAAATGGCTTTTAAAAATCTGGAGTTATCACTATAGTTTTGGTTGATTCCAGGAATTCTTACTCTCAGGATTCCCTTGTCTGTCACTCCAAATTTTCCACATAGTATAGTTTTGCCTTGCATCAATCTAGGCATGGAACTAAAATTTCTTTCATGTTTATTAAGCCATATGAATTTTGAAAATATTAAGAAAATTATAGAATTTCATTTAATTTTTACTAGATGTAGATACAGGGTCTTAAAATTAAGTCAATAGCCACATGAAATTTACAAAGTTATGAAGTATAAAGCAAATTCTAATACTTAAGCTTCAAAGTAAATTTTTCATAAGTTTCCAGCATCTTCGTTTCTGAAATCAATAAACTGAACAAAAACTTTTGAAACATTTTGTACAGATACACCCTCATCTTTAATGAATCAGTCCAGTATTTTCAAATTTCAAATTTCAAAAAATTTCAAATCTAAGAGAATCAAGCTTTTTTTTTCCTGTTCAAATGTCATCCTTCAGTAATTATTCAGTAATTATTCTAAGTTGGAATGTTAGCAGAAAATTCTCCTGGTCTTTGTTTATCTGAGAATATTTTTATTTTGCTGTCTTTTAATGATTTCCGTTAGACTTGGTAAGTTTCCAGTCATTATGTCTACAAGTATTATTTTTCTTCCTGTGTTCTGATACTCTTTCCACATATGCCAGTGTGCTTAATGGGTCCCCTAGCTCATTTTTTCTCAAAATATTTTCATTTTTTTACGTTGATTTCTATTAATCCACCTTCAAGTTTACAGTCTTTCGTCTACCATCTTACATGTGCTGTTGAACTTCTCTGATCATTTTTTTCATTTCAATTATCATAGTTTTCAATTCCAGAATTTATATTTGCTTCATTTTTAATCAATTTGTAGCTGTTCATTGAGTTTCTCTATTTGTTGCCTTATTATCATATTTTCATCTAATTCTTTAAATATGGTTCCTTTAGTTTTTTATGATTATGCTTATTTTTAATACTTTAATCTTTTTCTTCATACTGGAATTATGAATGGTATACTTACATGACTTATGAGTGATCTGTTATATAAATGTTTCACTCACTAGCTTTACAACATCGGAGTTTTCTCAATCTAACTGTTTACTTATCTGTCCCAGGGAGTTTTATACTTTGATGTATTTTTCTTTTACTAATTAACATCTTTCTATTTCAGCTTGTAGAGCTTCCTTTAACATTTCTTGTAAGGTTGATTCATTGGTGATGAAGTCCTTCACCGTCTGCTTATCTGGAAAGGTCTGTCTCTCCTTCGTTTCTGAAAGACAATGTAGTTGTGTCATCGGGGATTTCTTAGCTGTGACATGTGGGATCTTGTTCCCCGACCAGGGACTGAACCCAGGCACCTTGCATTGGGACCACCAGGGGAGTCCCCACAGCTTTTTCATTTGTTAAGGAAAAAGAATTCTCTTTGAAAGCTCATATATCTAGTCCACACAGAAGCAGCCAGCAGTTAGTCTTGTGAAGAGTTAAACATGAATCTGGCTATCAGGAGCCAGCCCAGGACAAGGACAATAAGCCATAAGGAGACAGAAAGCCAAGGGTTATGGGATTTTCCTCCTTCAGGGCGTGGGTTCCTGTAGTGTTTTATTTTTAATGGGAATAAACATGGTAAGATTTTTTACAGATTCGCCCTGGTTGAGAAAAAGGATTTGGTACTTGTTATACAGAACTAATTAGAATGTGACAAAAGGCTGAAAACGTTGGATGATATTCAAATACAACTTTGAGTTTGGACTAAATGTTAACTACTTACTCCCTTTAACTTAAATATTGGCATAAAAACTTAAATTCACATATGCTTGAAGATCCTTCCCCAAGTCATTAACCAGAAATGCATGCTGGTTTCGCTTTAAAATGCTATAATCCATCACTCCCATGCCTGTGACTTCAGTTAACAACTATGGGCTGAGCAATCATACAGCCTCAGCCTCAACTTGAAAGTATTGATCACTTGTCAGCCATGTTAGGGATCATCAAATACACATCCACTCTGCCATATTTGAAATTGAATGCATGATCACACAATTGGCAATATTATCTAATAGGTTATGCTAACTAAAACCCCAGCAGTCATGTCTGACATCTTTGTCTCTTAATATGCAGTTATCCTGATCTTTCATAAGTATATTTCAAATTTGGCTACATGAATTCTTCTTCCTTAATATCAATCAAATCCAAGTTACCTGTTTTCTTTGACTTCAGCAGGAAACTCATAACTGTTCCACCTGCAACCACATTTGACTCCTGTCATCTCTTTTCCAATCACAGCTGGAGTAGTCTTTTAAAAATGTTTATCAAATTGGTCACCCCCCTTCATAATACATCTAATGGCTTTCCATTGTTTATGAGCTAAAAAGAAGAAAGACCCTTAACAAAACCTGCATGAGTCTCCAGGATAAGGTGTCAAACTTCCAATGTCACACTTCCCCAGTGTATTGAAGTGTGGCTATATATACATACACATATCATAAAGTATTAGAGTAGGAAATAGCAACCCACTCCTGTTTCCTGCCTGGAAAATCCCAATGACAGAGGAGATTTGGTGGGCTGCTGAGATACCCAAGGGTCAATTGTATAGGTATAGTGTTCATTATAATGATAAAATTGTATTTAATGTGTGTAATAATTATATAATTCATAAACACACTTATGTATTATGGATAATAGGGTTTCCCAGGCAGCGATAGTGGTCAAGAACCCACCTGCCAATGCAGGAGACACGCGAGATGCAGGTTTGATTCCTGGAGGGGGCACAGCAACCCACTCCGGTGTTTTCACCTGGAGAATCCCATGAACAAATGAGCCGGGCAGGCTGCAGTCCATGGCGTCCCAAAGAGTTGGGTAAGACTGAAGCAACTTTGCATGCCCATTGTGGATAATAACCACATATATATGCAACCACTGAAAGAGCTAGTTGGTGTT